AAGAAAGAGGGACGTGCAAAAAAAAAAAAAAAAGTTAGACATTTGAGCCTGTGCAACGCGGCTGAGAAGGTCAATTACGACGATGACGTGGACGTACTTAGCGGATGTGTCAAAGCGAGCGCACAGGCGAAGGTTAACATCAATAACTCTCCTGCCCTGTCTGCACGAGACTGAGACCGTCTGGCCTGCACGGGAGTTAGATTGGGGATAGGGTGGCGAGGTTGAGGCCACGGGTAGTGAGCGCGCGATGGAAGTCGGACGAGACACACGCTCCAGAGTGCAAGTGTGCACGGGAAGCAGAAGAAAGGTTAACGTAGGAGCGGTGTGTGTAGATGATAGAGCTGCTTGGTCGCGGGTGACGGTTGGCGCTGACCATTGGATACGTTGAATGTCGCTGTGAAGGGTTCAATGAAGGGGTTGCGTGAGAGTGTTGGTGAAGGTACTGCTCACATTGTTGCGCTAAGGAGTCACACGATTGCCTGTTTGAAGGTCCCTCGCAGAGTCCATTGGAGCCGACTCATGCTCTTGGTGACTTACACTCCCATCCAATACGTTGAGATTGATGGCGCTTGTGCAAGGAAGATGAGCAATAGCGAACTTCAGCAATCAAACAACATCATACATATGAGTCCAGATAGTCGTGACCTCGAACCAACAGCCGAAGTGCACCACGAGAATCACCAAATAAGAACACACCAAGAGTTCATAATCTACAATGCTGAAATAGTCCCATCATCATCAACGAAGAACCAGAGTTGATATCCTATCTGGCGCTCGGCGCCCAGACTACATGTGGCAGATCCTATCTAGCCTACACTACGATGCCGAAAGATGACGTCAACAACTTTCCTGAAGTACAAGCATACAACAACCAGTGTCGCATGCTTCCAGCACCAGGTATGTCTCTCGCCACACTCACAACCTCGTTCCCCAACACACAGATGCCACTAGCACCCAAGGACCACCCTGCGCCTCACCCAGCTTCAGCAGCGCAGCTCGACTATGGCTGCGTGCTCCTTCCCTGCTCGCCCGTGAGAGCATAGGCGCCAACCAGCAAATAGCGCAGCAGCGCTCGCGCAACATACAGCCAGCACCCGAATGAGGAATGTGGAGGTAGGCCCTTTGCTATATCGAAGTGGCCTGCCTGTATCCAATCCCAGGAAGCTTGCAGTAGGCCTCTGTAGCCCGAGGCCCAGCACGACGAGAACAAGCCTTGGGCCTGAGGTGGTTGCATCCTGGAATTCGCTCCAACTCGAAGTCGAACATCCAGATGTAGGTCAGCCACCTGGCGATAGTTGGATCTGAAGGAGCGAAGTTTTTGAGGGAAGCCAATGCCGTAGCGTCCACCCTTAGTACGAACCTGCTGCCGAAGAGGTAGTTTATGAAGATCCTCAAACAGTGAAGAACTGCCAAGGTTTCGCGCTTGAACTGAGAGTAGTTCCTCTCAGACGTATTAAGCGTCCGACTCTCGAATCTTAATGGCTGCTCTTCTCCGTTGGGGTCTCGCTGGATCAACACTCCTCCTAACGCAGTCGGCCCTGCATCCGTCTCCACAATAAACGGCCTGGTCATCACCGCCGCATGGTCCGGTACCCCCAGTACTAGACCTCCTTCCTCGAACTCTTTCTTCAGGGCTTCTATCACCGATTTTTGTTGGTCTCCCCACTCCCAATCTTGTCCTTGACGCACAAGTTTCCTCAACTGTTCAGTTTTTGCCGCAAATCCCTTAATAAAGATCCTCCAAAACTCACACGTGCCCAGAAAACTTCTCACCTCCGTGATAGTCTGGAACGGTGTTGGCCAGTCGAGAATCTTGTTAGTCTTCTTAGTATCTGGCCGACGACCTCTCTCGTCGCATACAAATCCTAAGATAGTGGCACCACTCATGCAGTGCCTCGATTTTGGCCCACTGGCAGTGAGGTTATGCTCCTTCAAGAGGTCCAGGACCTTGCATAAGTCTTGCACATGATCCCACACAAAGCGCCTGATCCCTGGCACCACCTCCTGCTCGTCCTTCTCTTTGGGCCCTTTTACGGCCAGATCATCAATGAAGGGCTGCGTGATGTGAGGACTTATGGGTTGCATCGCCCTCACCATGTGCCGCTGGACCATAGCGACCGCATTCGTCCACCCTTGCGGTGCGACGTTCATGTGGATCAGCCCTCGAGGGGTATGCATGGCTGTCATAGGCCGGTCAGACGGGTATACAGGGAACTGATCGTAGCCTGAATACAAGTTAATGAGTGATATGATGGTCCTCCCAGCGCATGCCTCCGAAAGCGCATCAACGTTGGGGAGACCCCCTGCGTCCCTCACCGTCACAGCATTCAGGCGCTGTAAATCCTGTACCCACCTCAGCGTCCCATTGGGTTTGACAAAACAAAACCATGGGGATGCATACGGTCCGCTCGAGTAATCTGCCACATGAGTGCGGATCTTCCCATCAAGGTAGTTAACCACCTTCTCTTCGTCAGCGGGATTAGGATACCGCGCACCTCGCAAGTTCCACGGTTCGTGGGGTACGGTATGTATCCTAATCATTGGGATAATATCCACGTCCAGTCGGCCTCTCTCATCATCACTGAAGGCATATGCAGCATGCCTTCCTCTTATGGTGTCCACCACAAATTTCTCCTCTTGCGCCGTAAGAAAGTCAGGCTCCCCTATGATCAGCACCTTCTCTGTCTCGGCATTGATACGGCATGGTCCACTTTCCGTCCTTTCTCGCATTTGCCGTATCAACTCTCGCTCCCGCTTGTAGTATACCTCCTGTTCTTTAGTAACGAGTACGGGAACGGGGCGGCACTTTTGGTCTACCCTTTTGTACCGCCTTTGGGCGCCCTGCTTGAGCCCACCCCTAAAAAAGGCCGAGTTGCGCTCTGGGGTTGCGCTCCACTCTCTCCACCTGTCTGACCAGGTGTTCGATATACCAATTTCATCTCTCCTGCACCCATTTGCTCCACTACCTTCTCTCTCAAGGCCTCCACAGCCTCAGGATCCGCCATCCCATAGGTCGATACTATGTCCATAGCGTCGCCTATGTTCGCCAAGCTTAGAGTCAGCGCCTCTGGCTCCCTTACCTCGTCAAGCCTGCTGTTCTCAATCCTTAACCCTTCTTCTTCTGATTCTTCGATTGTGAACGAACCGGGGTTAGGCCGGTTCCTTACACTCTTGGGTCCTGTGTTCTTGCAGGTGATGACCTCGTAAGTCCCACATACGGGGTCGCACAGGACGAGGAACATAGTTCCGTCATATTTATTGAGGATGACCGTCTCAGTGCTGCTCAAGAACGATCTCCCAAGTAAAATAGGGTGGTCCAAGTCAGGCATCACAAAGAAGCAACTCCTTGCTTTCACCTTTCCAATTTCCAATATTACTGACGACACGGTCCCAATTAATATCGATCGGCTATTGGCCCCCATTAAAACCCCGTTGTCGGAGCGGTCTATCTCCATTCCCAGCCGTACGGCATGTTCCTCCTTTATGAGGTTCATTTCCGCTCCACTGTCCACCATTGCGGTGCATGTCTTCCCTCTTACCACAACGTCGAGGCAGCCACAGGCGACAAACTTCCAGTCCATCTTAGTACCCGTTTCAGCCCACTCCGCCTCCTTAGGGATTATAGTCCCCAATCGTATGCTGGCTACCATCTTCCTGGATAGTCTTGGTCTTAACTCATCCCTAAGTTTAGGCGTTGAGGCTAGTACGTCCTTCAGGTTCATAAGGGGATTATGACCCTCTAGGATTCTGTCCATTATCTCTTCCACATTGAAGCCTTCCTCCACTCGGACAGCGTATTTCTTCTTCTTTACTTCTTGTGCCTTGTCTGTATCAGGCCTGGCACCCCTCTTCTTGACCCTTTGCTCGGCCCTCTCATCCTCTTCCTTCCTCAACCTATCATCTTCGTCATCCTCTCCTTCTGGAACGTCCACTACCTCTTTCTCTCCACTGGGTTCAGGAACATCCTTGGCTGGTTCTTCGGGACTCACTGGCTCTTTAGCCCTTGTCCTAATGGCATGAGGCGCCCTCCCTGTCCTGGAGGGTGGTCTAAAGGTCATTCCGAATCGAGGCGTCGCTCCTGAGGTCGTGACGTTTGGTAGATTCTCGGACCCTCCTTGCGACCCCGGACCTAAGTCGTAGAGGTATACCGATGGCTCCTTACCTTGCCACCCCTTGACTTCTTCGCACATATCAGCCAGCTTTTGTTGGTATCTCCCGACTTTGTCTATCAAGTCCTCCATTCTCTCCATTGTCTGTCGGGCCGTTCTCCAACAATCTTCCCCTGTCTCAGCATGCAGCGGCCTGTTCTAGCAATCTTCCTCTATCTCATCATCGGACTCCACTGTGATCGGTTCTATCTTAGTGGTGCCCGCCTTCTTTTCTTGCTCCACCTCTGCGTTCTCTCCTACCTCCTCCACCCTGACGTCACTACGGACCTCTTTCTTCTGCCATATCCGAAACATGGCTGGAGGTGCGGGTGGCTCACCAGCCTCAACCCTTCGCAGGGCTTCCTTCCTCGCACCGCCTGGAATCTTTGGGTCAAGGTGGTACCCCCACTTGTCATGTCTCCATCATAGTTGGTGCTAATTAAAGCTTCGTCCTCGTCGTTCCTCCTGACATGGCAGAACTTGATAGTGTGGCCTTTCTGCCCATAATGCCAGCAAATGGCATTTCACCAGTCCACTCTCCCTCTGCCAGCACCTCTTCCCCCCTCTTGACCGCCTTGACTCCCGGATGTCGTCCAACCCTCGTTTCCGCCACCTGAAGTGTTACCACCACCATTCCCTCTACCATTTCCTCCACGGCCACCATTCCCCCGTCCTCGGCCCCACCCTTGGTTCTGTCCACGTCCACCCCCTTGATTGCCTTGCGAACCTTGTGGGGCTGACTGTTGGGGCTGGTTTGGCGGTGTGTTTGGGTGGCTCACTTGTTGCGCTTGGGGTCCCGAGCAGCCACAGGAAGCCGCGCTCACTGATGGTCCGACGCACGACCCATGCGGCCCGCTCATTGGCCACGGGGCATATGAACAGTGTCCATGCCAATGACTCGAAGGTCCACAACCTGGCCATGGCCCATGGTGAGCTAGTGCAGCCTGACTAGGCGACTCAGGAGGTGGCATGGCTACAGCTTGCGGGACCTGCCCCTTTCATGAGCCCTGCCCCCCTTGAGCCAAGTTCCTTGCCTTTCTCTGAGCCTTGGTCAACTTCTGTGGCTCAGGCTCCTCTTCCTCTTCCTCTTCTTCTTCCTCCTGCACCACTGCTTTCTTTGCCTTCCCTTGGGTCTGTGGTGCCGCCATAGTTTTTCTTTTTGCCTCTTTCTCTGTATCGAGTTGGGCCACTGCATCTTCTATCAGTTTCTTAAAGTCTCGCTCGTCGCTCGTCGTGGCGTCCAAGGCCTTTCTTTTCTTCCTAGCCTGTGCATTTGGAAGATGTCTACTTGGTCTAGCTCTCCTTCTATTACGTCCTCCTTTATGGCGGCCCAAGTGAGCTTCTTTCCCGGCGCAACCTTCTCGGTTAGCGACGAGGCCTCCCAATTCTTGAAGTGCCCCAGGAAAGTGACATATTGTTCTTCTTCCGCCAATCCGGGGACTTTCTTGGCCATCTTCTCAAATGCCGTTGCGAAAGATCCCACCGTGAAGAACTCGTCCTGCTGTAACATCTCCAAATCTGTCTTCGTTAACAAGCCATCCCCTAACTTGAACCGCCTCTGCATTTCTGCCTTAAACTTAGCCAGTCTCCTCCTGCTCCAGCAGCCACCTTCATCACCTCGGGCCGAGTTTCCCACCAGACGTACCTGGGTAGGAACTTGAATTTATCTGCCTCAGGCACCTCGGCCGTAACCTGCTCCAGCAGCTCCAGCCACTCGGATACTTTGTCCCCATTAATATGGAAGATGTTAACTTTCGGCACTTGAAGTCGTGCCAACTCTCTTTTCTCGAGTGCCTTGACGAAATCCTCTGGTGTAGCGGCTGGGCCACGCTCGATTTCATCAGCGTCCGGGATCTTCACCTCTTTTTGCTAACCAACCTGACACGAGTAACAAGGGATAAATCGATAAGCAGTTCGTCAAGTTTAGAGGGTCTGCCCTACGTCCTTCTTGACCATCCCACCCTTAAGTTTAGCTACCCGCTCCACCATTAATCATTCACGCCCTTTATACAACCTTTAATTGCATACCATATCACTCAGTCTTATTATGACGTCATATACAACCCTCCTATAATTTTTTGTCGTTTTACTTATCATCAGTTTGCACTTAACCTGGGTTCGTTCTCTTAAGGACCCCGGTAGGCAGCCGAGATCCTCGACAACGGCGCCACCTGTCGAGCGCATCGGTCCCGCACGGGGACCCACCCGGCCGCGTCACGCAGGATTATGCAGGACTTGTCGCGGGGAGCGTTTGCCGCTCCAGCCGAGTGCGCCAGCCGTACCTCTCGCGAGTCCCTACGACAGGACAGAGTCACGCGAGGCACCTCTACCTCCACCTGCGGGAGCTGTCATCATCCCTTAGGCCGGCGTATCCCTGCCGAGCTACTGAACCACATGCGAAAGCTTTTCATATGCAATTGCAGAGGTGGCACAACCGAGGGCGTTTCTCGTTCGCTGTAGCATAGGGGGTACGCGCGGTCGAATGCCCGAAATCGAACCCGTACACGGGTCGTTGTACTGGGGGGCTGAAGTCCCAGACATGATTCGGCGCCGGTCCACTAGGACGCACTACATACCCACGCATTACACTACAACACCCATGCTTACCCATGCATAACATACGGACACACACACACAGCAACCTCCACAAACAACACCACAACACAACACCACTCCTAGTCCCTTCAGTATCCGACCCATAACCTCTAGCGCGGGGATCGACGAATGCTGTGCGCAAGGACTTAGTATAAGATCGCACGGACGCAGTACCCACGCATACCAATTCACTATGCAGCTCTGCGTGAGTATTCGCGATGACGGCGCATTGTGTGGTGCCCATACCCAAAAGGCCTCTTCGGAACCATGGGGTTACTTCCGACGCTCAGGCGTTGGCTGAAGCGCGCGCTAAAGGGAAGTAACCCTTTAGTAGGCGCAAAACCGGCCTGAGGGTCTTTCCGTCTTCTAAACCGTGAGGTGTCCCAAGGGGTGTGGGGTAAGACGGCCCCTAGGGCAGGAAGGGATTTGGAGCGGTGGTGAGATGTCTGGCGCATCACCAGCGACAGGCTAACCTTTCCGCTCGGAACTTTACCGTTCCACCAAAATAAACCCTCACGACAGTTGTGTGGTCTGCCCATCTGAATCCACGCAATACCACTCAACGTGGATCAATCGAGACTTTTCCATACATACCTGCAATCACACCACGCTATCAAACAAAGATTCACATGCTACGCGGGGTCAACTCCAACCAACCTCCCCATCGCCACCTCCGCGTGCTTTCTTCCGACAGTACCTGACGCAAACAGCGCCTAGGTTCTCTTTGTTGCGTCCTTCCTCTCTTTCTCTCTCTCTCTCTCTCTCTCTCTCTCTCTCTCTACCTGGCGCATAATCGTGACCAGGTGCATTCACTTTCAGCCACAGGCCGCACTTCACCACCGCTGTGCTGCTGCTATCAGCCTCGCCGCCTCTAACCCGTCACCTCACTGTGGCTCACCACCCTCCTACCTCTCTCTCCATCTCCATCTCCATCTCCATCTCCATCTCCATCTCCATCTCCTCTCCGGTCCGATGCCCCCACTCCTTCGCCCCCGCTGTCTGCCTTATCTCCCTAGCGCCTCTCCTCGTTTGCTCTTCTTCACAGGTTAGTGCAGCCCACCAGCCCGTAGCTCCCTCGTCAGCGCAGCGGATCGGTACAACAACTCACGCTATCCTACCACAACCTTCAGAGGGAACAGCAACTGGCCAGTGTGATTAGTCTTCCGTCCCTATGCCCAGATCCGTCTCTCCACCATTCCCAACTCTGAACGCACCTGGTGCGAAAACCCGCCCAGGTTCGTTCCCCTCCCGTTCTACTGTACTAGCGCTCTCTCAGCGATCCGTGTTGCCTTCTCCTCTCGGAAGGCACTCACAATTAGCAACCTCGAAGAGAGGTGGCTCTCTCTTTTTATACAGTTCAGCCTTGCTCCGGGGCCATGCTTATCTTCTCCATATCAGTCCCAATTTTAACGGATGTCTCGAAGGACTGTACCTTGTGCAGGGACCCAGGAGCGACGGGTCGGCTGCCTTGGCGGTCTCGGACTCAGTGCTGTATCCCAATCAGTTCAGTGGTGTATCCACTGAACGATGCCGCTGGGCTGTTCTGCAGGTCCCGACACTGGAACATGAAGAAAAGTTATAAAAATTAGGAAAAATAAAAAATGATAATAATAATAAAAATGAAAATCTTAGGCAGTTAAAAATAAAATAAAAATAAAAACCGGGTGGGGGGCCGTTGGTGCTGGGTCCTCGGCCCTGCCTTGTGGGCCCACCGTCGGACTCCCCTGCAAAAACCTAGGGGGGTAGTCCCACAGGACGACCCTTGAGCCCCTGGCCCTCCTGCGCTCCTCCGCTGCTCCGCTCTGGCCTTGATCCCAAGATCTGCCTGGTGAGAACTCAAGGACATAACCTATAGGGCTAAGCCCCAGCTTAGCATAGCTACATGCTAAACTCATTATGAGGAGTAGTTGCTGCTGGGCCGGCCTGCAGCAGCGTACTATAGGCCATCAGTTTAACTCATTGCCTGCTCCTCAGGCCTTGTAACGCCGCCCTCGGTTGCCTTGGGCAGAGCTCCGCGCGGGCCACCATGCACGCCCGGTCCACCGCGGCATGGCGGTGTGTCGAGCCTCTCATAGCCCGCCTCCGATACCATTGCCCAGGAACCCCTGGCTCGTGCTTTGTCTGTGCCGCTCTTACTTGGTTTCAGTGGCGGCTCCTCCCATCGGTAATGCCAGGTCAAATTGGTGTCTACGAACCTGATACGGTGTGATCCCAAGCTGCCAGCTTTTAGTAAGTCGGGCGGCGCTTCCCTTTAGTCATAATCCCACTAGGTCACATTATGCCGTTCGAGACCTTGCTTGTGGGGGGGGAGGTTGCGACCTCCCCAGAGTTCCTAGCGTTACACTCCTTCGTCCCACCGACGTCTCATAGTATTTCTCGACCCAGACTTGGTCGGGCTAACGCGTGCCCACAAAGTGCACGCTCACACATTTCTAATCAATACAAACGGGATGCGCCCTCAGATATCGTCAGACGCGACCTACCTGCGAGCTGCAAAAGCGTGCCCAAATACCCTTGTAAGGGTATTCGGGCCGACAGCTTTCCGGACCTTATTAAGCGACGTCCCCGTCGCGTCGGACTATCAAAGCTATAAACACAACCACAATTGCTGAGAAGGAAATGCCAATCCAGTTTACCGGCCCAACTCTGCTCGAGGTTGTCTTATCAACCTGCTCCCGTCACGATGTTCCACTGCCAGGGTTTCAACCTGGGTCTCCCACGTCCTGGCCTCCAAGCTAGAGGATACTTTGCTCCGTACTAAAGTGTACTATCCGCTCCCAGGTAGTAGGTTGATAGTCCTCTCCCTTCGTCGTAGACATCTGTCGGTTCGCCGTTGGGTATCCTGTTTAGTCATCGTCCCACGAACGGGGTCATTACTTAGGACGCGGGCCCTAACCGAGACCTCTCAAAATATAGGGCGTATTTAGCCGCCCAAATGGTATTGTTTACCATCTCAGTCCACAACGAACGCCCAACCTGGAGTCTAACACAGGCGGCTTCAGGTCTCCATCTTTGCCCACCATGGACCGGTCGATCACGCCGAATCCACGGCCCACCGCGTTGTTATGTAGCGGTGGTGCCCTCGTTGGTTAGGCAACGATAAACAACTTTCCTAACTTGGCACTCCGAAGGGTCCTGACTCTTTGACCTAGTCGACCTCAATGGCCTTCCCTCCGGCTAAACCTCTACGGGTGACCGACTCTTCAAGACTTAACTTTCAGTAAGTCATGGTCCTACTGCCAGGTTGTGTCGGTCAGCAGCCCTCGCTGGGAGTTAGGTTCTACAGTTCCAGTGATGCTAAGTATAGCCCCTTAGCTTGGCCTCACAACACGTCCCTTAGACTAACCCATGTGGTCTGGCACTTTCTTTCACCACCACAATCAAAGGATCACATACCGCTGCCCACGGGACTACGTGGAGGGATAATGCCCTTCTCAATGTTTCATCCAAAATCCTCAATAGTTCCACAGGGTCGTGTCTCTCTTACTTTGATCAAAAGCAGGTAAGGTCACACGTCTCTTAGGGATACTCACAATATTTTCCAAGCTCCAACATAATTGCCAGAAATTTCTAACCATAATTCTCATACAATACCTGGTCTTTCCTCGTCAGTCTTTTACATACGTGCAAATATTATTATCACTTATAGCAACTCTTCTGAGTGCTCTCACAAAATTTCATCCTTTTTAAGAAAGTCCAATCGGCCACTGGACTTCCTCCTCTCATTTCTGACTCATACACAAAAAGCACAACTTTAGTTGTGACCTCTCCATTCCTCACCAATCCAGCTGGGTAAAACATGTCATCACTGTCTCAATAATCTTAGAGCACTCCTTTCCCTTACACTTCCGGCTCCGCTCGTCATTAGGACAGGGATGCGCAAGTATAGTGGAAGGAAGCGCGAATCAGTCCACCTCACAACATTCATTTCATCATGTCATCACTCATATGGGCAAATCCACAAACCGAGAGTGAGTGCGACACACCACACATAACACAGAGACAAGGGTTGAGACTCACATATACAGTCAGGGCATGGGGCCTTGCAATGAACAAAAGGCCCCTGCCCTTATTATTGAGCTTAAAGTATTATATAAGGAGTTCAGGTATCCTTTAAAGAACCAAGGTAGTCAAGCGTCGAAGTATCGGAACTCGACGGCCGCTCCACACTCATGAGCATTATTCTATAAGGACGTTAACACTCTACATCACATTAGAGAAAAAAAAAGAAAAAATCGTCAATGTCATACTTAGCGTTATCTTATGTACAGGAAAAGGTTCTCAAGTCTATAACACGACGTAACACCTCACTACTGGCTCAGTCTACTGATGTACATGGGTCTGATCCAACCCTCCACGTATCTCTCTATATACAAGTAGTCACCAGTCTGTAAATCAGAGAAGTCCCGCACATGTCAGACTCAGACCTTTCCGGACCTTATTGGAAAATCCTACTCCTGATCACTCATGATCTCCTGCAACTGCCTATACAATTGCGCCCTTACCCCATCACGAGTCTTAGGGACTAGGTTTCCATTTCTATCTCTCCATACCCCAGATGACTCCCTCGTACACAATTCATTTGACTCGTCCTTGAGGCTCTTGGGGCAGTCCTCAGACCGATGTTTGCCCCTCTTGCAATAAAAGCACTTGCCAAGTTTCTTCTGGGACATATTGTCTCCTTCCAGCGAGGGTACAGATGACGAGGTTGTTGAGATCTTGCTCGTAACCTCCTGCTGTGGGACCCCTGAGGAAGCGGGGCAGGCTGCTCTGTCATCTGCTGGCATCCCCAGCTCCCCAACACGCCCCTCTGGCCCTGACCCAGTGGCCCAAGATCCCAGTACACCTCGCAAATTTGTAGCAACTGGCACCTCCTGAAGCATGGTTGACTCCTTACAGTCCCTCAGGTCCACTCTCTGCTCAGTCCCAACCATGGTCTGGCCCACACTTTCCTGACCCTCCTGCTGTCCCGCAGCCTCTTTCCGAATAGTAGGTGGAACCTCCCCAACTCTCATTGCCTCAACTGATGGTCCCTCCTGTGGTACTGCCGGCTCGTGTCCCAATGTCAGACCAGTAGGTAACCTCCACTCAAACTCTCTGACCACGGCACCCTTTTCCACAAGCACTCCTAGCTGCTCCAACATCTCTTTGTCGATCAGAGGGATCTCCTCACCCTCCTGCTGGTCCGCCATCTCTACTTCCTTTTCCTTCTTGAAGACCTCCTCTGCATGTTGTCCCCTGATTTCGAACTTTTGGACCTCTGTCCAATCCACCACTCTTGTGGGAGCTTGCTGGGTATACTTGGCTTCAGGGTTTCAAATTATTTTCTCCCACTCAGTCTCCTTAACCTGGAAGAAGGTCAGTTGTATACACAAATAGGCCCTCAGCGCGTCAGTGACCTTGTTAAGGGTCTGGTTGACTTGTCTAACGGCCTCGTTCTCTGTTGAGACTCTCTCCATGTCCGCCTTTACTGCTGCCAACTATTTGCCCTGTCTTCCCAGCTCCCTCTTCAGACCCTCAGCCTCTCTCTCCCAGTCCACCCTCTGGCCATAAGCCTTTTGTGCCACCTTTGTCAGCCTGTCCCCAATCTTCTGATCTGAGGTCCTTGCTGCAGCGAAGCCTTCTCTCATCACGCTCCTTAGGTTGAGCAGGTCTGTAGAGACCAACTTAACCCCCATCTCCTGATGTTGTCCACTTGATCTTCCTGTGGCATCCATCAGCTTATCGAAGCCCATCCAGACCTCTGAGAACAGAGGAGGGTCCTCCTCCTGAGTGCAGGTACCCTTTCCTTTTTTGTCCTCTACCTCCTCAGGCGTCTTTCCTTGCTGCATCCTCTCATGCAGTTCTGTCACGTTCTTCTTTCGGAGTTGAGTCTTGATCTCCAGCTCCCTTGCCGCCCTCTCTTCTCTGTCCAGCTCCTTTTCATCAACAGATGGTTCCTCCCTCAACTCTTGCGTATGCGGCTCGTGAGGGATGTTTGGCTCTGCGTCAGGCATGGGGCCATCCATCTCCCTCTGAGCAGGTTGTGGAGGTGCGTCTGAACCATCGGACCCCTCTGCTCTCTCATATCGGTGGGACTTGTGTTCCTTCTTCCTTTCCTCCCTCTGAGCCCCTGGTGACGCGCCCTGCTCAAAGGTTCCCCTTACCTCTGTCTTAGGTTCCCTTCTCCTTTTTTTCCACACCTCTCCTCTCACTTGCCTGACGAGCTGGAGTATAATAGTTCCATAGCAGCTTCTTGCAGTGCCCCCAGTTCATGGCTGATGCCACCACGGATCGTACGAAGGGTCTGATATGGTGTCCTACAAACAACAGGAAGCTCCCCACTCTCTGTTCTCCTGGGATATAGAGCTCATCCGCATATCGATCATACGCCCATAAGAACTCCCCCAGATTAGTGGAGTCGAATCGAATGGGCTGTCCATCCCTTCCCAGTGGTGACGGATGCAAGCCCTCCATCCTCCGTCCAAAGTCTTGCCAGCTCAGCGACTCTCTGACCAGTTTAGCAATAGGGTCCGCCCACTCGCCTGTGCCTCGCACCTCTCTCAACATCCTGGTGCTGTCCCATCCAAACTCTCTYGCATGCCRCTCGAACTCCATCAGGAACAGCTCAATGTTCCCTCCCTAGAAGACTGGAGGYCTGTCCTCTCTCCRGGTCCTCATYTGCGTCCTYTGTCGGGTTGCCCCCAAAGGGGTTTCCACTGGCCCTGCCCCTCCCCTCCCTCTTGGCATGGCTGCCCCAAGCGGTATCAAGCCTGCACAACAGGGAAGAGGCGAACAGAAGCACACAGAGGGTAAGCGATGTCAGACAAAACACAACAGGAGACAKACATAACCCTCCCACACCTATCTCAACTACCTACCTACACACACACACGCATACATAGTCATACACACATGCAAGTCTAACCACAACCTATCACGCTATTCTACTGAGGGCAGCACCCGAAGTAGCTACTAGATGACTCTAAGTGGTGGGATCCCTGCTCACCTCGCCTTGAGCCACAAACTTCTTTAGCCTCGAGCTCGACACCCAGTCCTTCCATGTCGTCCCATTCAGCTCTTCGATTTGGTAGGCACCATGTTCACCACATCTGGTGACCCTGTAAGGCCCCAACCACCTCTTGTCCAATTTCCGAGACCACTGCTTCTCTAGGGACGAGTCATACAACAGTACAACATCTCCCACCTTGAGAGGCTCCTTTCTCACTCTTACCATCGCTTGTCCCACCGGAACTTGTCCTTGGTACGGCTGTCCGCGGTTCTACTTGCTGCCTCCTCAATCCTGTCCTCAATAGCGCCGATCTGTCGTGCCCTAAAATCCAGCAGTTCCTCAAAGGTCAGATCAGTCTCGAGGTCCTGTCGCCTCCAAGTTTTCAGGAAGCTTTCAATGGGAAATGTCGCATGCCTGCCGTACCATAGCGTAGCCGGTGCATAGCCAGTGCTCCTCCTGATAGTGATGTTATCCACGAAAAACACGACCCTTAGAAAGTTTGGCCATAGGTTGGGTCTGCCATCGGTTCACTTGGCAAGAAGATTTGTGATGGTGCTATGCCCCCTCTCCACAGGTGCGTTGGCCTGAGGGTGCGCTGCAGTAGTGTACTCAGCGATTACCCCATACTTCTTCAAAAGAGCCTTCACTTCTGCACATGTGAACTCGGACCCTCTATCCATCACGAATCTAGACACAAAGGGGTAGCGAAGATAGTACTCTTCGATGCATCGGGCCAATGTCTCTCCAGTCTTCGTGCGAATGGCCCTGCCATCCACAAACCCCGAGAGGTTGTCCCGTGCATCAAAGATGAAATTGCAGTTCCCTATCCCCAACGGCATTGCCAATAGATCCAAGTGCACGACTGCTCCAACCTCACGAACGTACCTTGGGTGCAGCGGCTCCCTGGGTCTGAGAGCAGACCGTTCTTGGCATGGCACGCAAGATTTATAATAGTTATCAATCATCTGCACCATGTCATCCCAATAGTACAACTCGTGGATCTTCTGGTATGTCGTATCCGCACCTCTGTGGCCACCTGCCATACCGTCGTGTAGTGCCGCCATAATGTCGATCTGGCGAGCGACGCCACAGACTACTCTCCTGGGGTCCCTTCCTTTGCTCCTCATGAACAGATGGTCATCCCTCACCACGAAACTAGGCCTCATCTTCAGAACTCGCGCGCAGGCATCCCTTTCCCGCATCTCGCACGAAAGAAGCATGCCGAGTTCAAGGTATACCCCCTCATACTCCTCTGCTCGAAACGCTTCCTAGATCTCCCCCTCTTCGAAGTCACCATCTTCTCTCTCGTGGATCACGTTGTCACCTCCTCCCGGCTCTATCTCCTCTTCCTGGTCGAGTACCGTATTTCTGACCGTCTCTTCCTGAAGCAGCGCATTTGCCAGCAGGTACACCCCACCTATCATCTTCTCGTACTTACCCACGTGTAGCGCCCCATTTTCACTGGAAGCGGGTCTTCCTGCAGCTCGTACTTGCCTGCTAAGGCCAGCTCCATCATCCAACCTATACCCGACATTCGCCAAGAATCTTCTTCAATATAGGGTTTGAGGACCAAGTCTGGCCGTCGTACATGTCCCGGAGGCTCAAGCCATATAGGTCGCCCAGGAGGAACGTACTTACCCACGGCCAAGCGAGGAGAGTGATCGGGAGGTGCGGACCCAGTCCTGGCATGGACTGGACCAATGGCGGCAGGACCACCCGACCGCTGAGCCTGTAGAGGACTGACCCGAGGCCAGCTCAAAGAAGGGGAGAGATTGAGACCGCGGGGCGGTTATGAGCGATCGGGGCGAAGGCCCAAGACACAAAAGAAAGAGGGACGTGCAAAAAAAAAAAAAAAAGTTAGACATTTGAGCCTGTGCAACGCGGCTGAGAAGGTCAATTACGACGATGACGTGGACGTACTTAGCGGATGTGTCAAAGCGAGCGCACAGGCGAAGGTTAACATCAATAACTCTCCTGCCCTGTCTGCACGAGACTGAGACCGTCTGGCCTGCACGGGAGTTAGATTGGGGATAGGGTGGCGAGGTTGAGGCCACGGGTAGTGAGCGCGCGATGGAAGTCGGACGAGACACACGCTCCAGAGTGCAAGTGTGCACGGGAAGCAGAAGAAAGGTTAACGTAGGAGCGGTGTGTGTAGATGATAGAGCTGCTTGGTCGCGGGTGACGGTTGGCGCTGACCATTGGATACGTTGAATGTCGCTGTGAAGGGTTCAATGAAGGGGTTGCGTGAGAGTGTTGGTGAAGGTACTGCTCACATTGTTGCGCTAAGGAGTCACACGATTGCCTGTTTGAAGGTCCCTCGCAGAGTCCATTGGAGCCGACTCATGCTCTTGGTGACTTACACTCCCATCCAATACGTTGAGATTGATGGCGCTTGTGCAAGGAAGATGAGCAATAGCGAACTTCAGCAATCAAACARCATCATACATATGAGTCCAGATAGTCGTGACCTCGAACCAACAGCCGAAGTGCACCACGAGAATCACCAAATAAGAACACACCAAGAGTTCATAATCTACAATGCTGAAATAGTCCCATCATCATCAACGAAGAACCAGAGTTGATATCCTATCTGGCGCTCGGCGCCCAGACTACATGTGGCAGATCCTATCTAGCCTACACTACGATGCCGAAAGATGACGTCAACAACTTTCCTGAAGTACAAGCATACAACAACCAGTGTCGCATGCTTCCAGCACCAGGTATGTCTCTCGCCACACTCACAACCTCGTTCCCCAACACACAGATGCCACTAGCACCCAAGGACCACCCTGCGCCTCACCCAGCTTCAGCAGCGCAGCTCGACTATGGCTGCGTGCTCCTTCCCTGCTCGCCCGTGAGAGCATAGGCGCCAACCAGCAAATAGCGCAGCAGCGCTCGCGCAACATACAGCCAGCACCCGAATGAGGAATGTGGAGGTAGGCCCTTTGCTATATCGAAGTGGCCTGCCTGTATCCAATCCCAGGAAGCTTGCAGTAGGCCTCTGTAGCCCGAGGCCCAGCACGACGAGAACAAGCCTTGGGCCTGAGGTGGTTGCATCCTGGAATTCGCTCCAACTCGAAGTCGAACATCCAGATGTAGGTCAGCCACCTGGCGATAGTTGGATCTGAAGGAGCGAAGTTTTTGAGGGAAGCCAATGCCGTAGCGTCCACCCTTAGTACGAACCTGCTGCCGAAGAGGTAGTTTATGAAGATCCTCAAACAGTGAAGAACTGCCAAGGTTTCGCGCTTGAACTGAGAGTAGTTCCTCTCAGACGTATTAAGCGTCCGACTCTCGAATCTTAATGGCTGCTCTTCTCCGTTGGGGTCTCGCTGGATCAACACTCCTCCTAACGCAGTCGGCCCTGCATCCGTCTCCACAATAAACGGCCTGGTCATCACCGCCGCATGGTCCGGTACCCCCAGTACTAGACCTCCTTCCTCGAACTCTTTCTTCAGGGCTTCTATCACCGATTTTTGTTGGTCTCCCCACTCCCAATCTTGTCCTTGACGCACAAGTTTCCTCAACTGTTCAGTTTTTGCCGCAAATCCCTTAATAAAGATCCTCCAAAACTCACACGTGCCCAGAAAACTTCTCACCTCCGTGATAGTCTGGAACGGTGTTGGCCAGTCGAGAATCTTGTTAGTCTTCTTAGTATCTGGCCGACGACCTCTCTCGTCGCATACAAATCCTAAGATAGTGGCACCACTCATGCAGTGCCTCGATTTTGGCCCACTGGCAGTGAGGTTATGCTCCTTCAAGAGGTCCAGGACCTTGCATAAGTCTTGCACATGATCCCACACAAAGCGCCTGATCCCTGGCACCACCTCCTGCTCGTCCTTCTCTTTGGGCCCTTTTACGGCCAGATCATCAATGAAGGGCTGCGTGATGTGAGGACTTATGGGTTGCATCGCCCTCACCATGTGCCGCTGGACCATAGCGACCGCATTCGTCCACCCTTGCGGTGCGACGTTCATGTGGATCAGCCCTCGAGGGGTATGCATGGCTGTCATAGGCCGGTCAGACGGGTATACAGGGAACTGATCGTAGCCTGAATACAAGTTAATGAGTGATATGATGGTCCTCCCAGCGCATGCCTCCGAAAGCGCATCAACGTTGGGGAGACCCCCTGCGTCCCTCACCGTCACAGCATTCAGGCGCTGTAAATCCTGTACCCACCTCAGCGTCCCATTGGGTTTGACAAAACAAAACCATGGGGATGCATACGGTCCGCTCGAGTAATCTGCCACATGAGTGCGGATCTTCCCATCAAGGTAGTTAACCACCTTCTCTTCGTCAGCGGGATTAGGATACCGCGCACCTCGCAAGTTCCACGGTTCGTGGGGTACGGTATGTATCCTAATCATTGGGATAATATCCACGTCCAGTCGGCCTCTCTCATCATCACTGAAGGCATATGCAGCATGCCTTCCTCTTATGGTGTCCACCACAAATTTCTCCTCTTGCGCCGTAAGAAAGTCAGGCTCCCCTATGATCAGCACCTTCTCTGTCTCGGCATTGATACGGCATGGTCCACTTTCCGTCCTTTCTCGCATTTGCCGTATCAACTCTCGCTCCCGCTTGTAGTATACCTCCTGTTCTTTAGTAACGAGTACGGGAACGGGGCGGCACTTTTGGTCTACCCTTTTGTACCGCCTTTGGGCGCCCTGCTTGAGCCCACCCCTAAAAAAGGCCGAGTTGCGCTCTGGGGTTGCGCTCCACTCTCTCCACCTGTCTGACCAGGTGTTCGATATACCAATTTCATCTCTCCTGCACCCATTTGCTCCACTACCTTCTCTCTCAAGGCCTCCACAGCCTCAGGATCCGCCATCCCATAGGTCGATACTATGTCCATAGCGTCGCCTATGTTCGCCAAGCTTAGAGTCAGCGCCTCTGGCTCCCTTACCTCGTCAAGCCTGCTGTTCTCAATCCTTAACCCTTCTTCTTCTGATTCTTCGATTGTGAACGAACCGGGGTTAGGCCGGTTCCTTACACTCTTGGGTCCTGTGTTCTTGCAGGTGATGACCTCGTAAGTCCCACATACGGGGTCGCACAGGACGAGGAACATAGTTCCGTCATATTTATTGAGGATGACCGTCTCAGTGCTGCTCAAGAACGATCTCCCAAGTAAAATAGGGTGGTCCAAGTCAGGCATCACAAAGAAGCAACTCCTTGCTTTCACCTTTCCAATTTCCAATATTACTGACGACACGGTCCCAATTAATATCGATCGGCTATTGGCCCCCATTAAAACCCCGTTGTCGGAGCGGTCTATCTCCATTCCCAGCCGTACGGCATGTTCCTCCTTTATGAGGTTCATTTCCGCTCCACTGTCCACCATTGCGGTGCATGTCTTCCCTCTTACCACAACGTCGAGGCAGCCACAGGCGACAAACTTCCAGTCCATCTTAGTACCCGTTTCAGCCCACTCCGCCTCCTTAGGGATTATAGTCCCCAATCGTATGCTGGCTACCATCTTCCTGGATAGTCTTGGTCTTAACTCATCCCTAAGTTTAGGCGTTGAGGCTAGTACGTCCTTCAGGTTCATAAGGGGATTATGACCCTCTAGGATTCTGTCCATTATCTCTTCCACATTGAAGCCTTCCTCCACTCGGACAGCGTATTTCTTCTTCTTTACTTCTTGTGCCTTGTCTGTATCAGGCCTGGCACCCCTCTTCTTGACCCTTTGCTCGGCCCTCTCATCCTCTTCCTTCCTCAACCTATCATCTTCGTCATCCTCTCCTTCTGGAACGTCCACTACCTCTTTCTCTCCACTGGGTTCAGGAACATCCTTGGCTGGTTCTTCGGGACTCACTGGCTCTTTAGCCCTTGTCCTAATGGCATGAGGCGCCCTCCCTGTCCTGGAGGGTGGTCTAAAGGTCATTCCGAATCGAGGCGTCGCTCCTGAGGTCGTGACGTTTGGTAGATTCTCGGACCCTCCTTGCGACCCCGGACCTAAGTCGTAGAGGTATACCGATGGCTCCTTACCTTGCCACCCCTTGACTTCTTCGCACATATCAGCCAGCTTTTGTTGGTATCTCCCGACTTTGTCTATCAAGTCCTCCATTCTCTCCATTGTCTGTCGGGCCGTTCTCCAACAATCTTCCCCTGTCTCAGCATGCAGCGGCCTGTTCTAGCAATCTTCCTCTATCTCATCATCGGACTCCACTGTGATCGGTTCTATCTTAGTGGTGCCCGCCTTCTTTTCTTGCTCCACCTCTGCGTTCTCTCCTACCTCCTCCACCCTGACGTCACTACGGACCTCTTTCTTCTGCCATATCCGAAACATGGCTGGAGGTGCGGGTGGCTCACCAGCCTCAACCCTTCGCAGGGCTTCCTTCCTCGCACCGCCTGGAATCTTTGGGTCAAGGTGGTACCCCCACTTGTCATGTCTCCATCATAGTTGGTGCTAATTAAAGCTTCGTCCTCGTCGTTCCTCCTGACATGGCAGAACTTGATAGTGTGGCCTTTCTGCCCATAATGCCAGCAAATGGCATTTCACCAGTCCACTCTCCCTCTGCCAGCACCTCTTCCCCCCTCTTGACCGCCTTGACTCCCGGATGTCGTCCAACCCTCGTTTCCGCCACCTGAAGTGTTACCACCACCATTCCCTCTACCATTTCCTCCACGGCCACCATTCCCCCGTCCTCGGCCCCACCCTTGGTTCTGTCCACGTCCACCCCCTTGATTGCCTTGCGAACCTTGTGGGGCTGACTGTTGGGGCTGGTTTGGCGGTGTGTTTGGGTGGCTCACTTGTTGCGCTTGGGGTCCCGAGCAGCCACAGGAAGCCGCGCTCACTGATGGTCCGACGCACGACCCATGCGGCCCGCTCATTGGCCACGGGGCATATGAACAGTGTCCATGCCAATGACTCGAAGGTCCACAACCTGGCCATGGCCCATGGTGAGCTAGTGCAGCCTGACTAGGCGACTCAGGAGGTGGCATGGCTACAGCTTGCGGGACCTGCCCCTTTCATGAGCCCTGCCCCCCTTGAGCCAAGTTCCTTGCCTTTCTCTGAGCCTTGGTCAACTTCTGTGGCTCAGGCTCCTCTTCCTCTTCCTCTTCTTCTTCCTCCTGCACCACTGCTTTCTTTGCCTTCCCTTGGGTCTGTGGTGCCGCCATAGTTTTTCTTTTTGCCTCTTTCTCTGTATCGAGTTGGGCCACTGCATCTTCTATCAGTTTCTTAAAGTCTCGCTCGTCGCTCGTCGTGGCGTCCAAGGCCTTTCTTTTCTTCCTAGCCTGTGCATTTGGAAGATGTCTACTTGGTCTAGCTCTCCTTCTATTACGTCCTCCTTTATGGCGGCCCAAGTGAGCTTCTTTCCCGGCGCAACCTTCTCGGTTAGCGACGAGGCCTCCCAATTCTTGAAGTGCCCCAGGAAAGTGACATATTGTTCTTCTTCCGCCAATCCGGGGACTTTCTTGGCCATCTTCTCAAATGCCGTTGCGAAAGATCCCACCGTGAAGAACTCGTCCTGCTGTAACATCTCCAAATCTGTCTTCGTTAACAAGCCATCCCCTAACTTGAACCGCCTCTGCATTTCTGCCTTAAACTTAGCCAGTCTCCTCCTGCTCCAGCAGCCACCTTCATCACCTCGGGCCGAGTTTCCCACCAGACGTACCTGGGTAGGAACTTGAATTTATCTGCCTCAGGCACCTCGGCCGTAACCTGCTCCAGCAGCTCCAGCCACTCGGATACTTTGTCCCCATTAATATGGAAGATGTTAACTTTCGGCACTTGAAGTCGTGCCAACTCTCTTTTCTCGAGTGCCTTGACGAAATCCTCTGGTGTAGCGGCTGGGCCACGCTCGATTTCATCAGCGTCCGGGATCTTCACCTCTTTTTGCTAACCAACCTGACACGAGTAACAAGGGATAAATCGATAAGCAGTTCGTCAAGTTTAGAGGGTCTGCCCTACGTCCTTCTTGACCATCCCACCCTTAAGTTTAGCTACCCGCTCCACCATTAATCATTCACGCCCTTTATACAACCTTTAATTGCATACCATATCACTCAGTCTTATTATGACGTCATATACAACCCTCCTATAATTTTTTGTCGTTTTACTTATCATCAGTTTGCACTTAACCTGGGTTCGTTCTCTTAAGGACCCCGGTAGGCAGCCGAGATCCTCGACAACGGCGCCACCTGTCGAGCGCATCGGTCCCGCACGGGGACCCACCCGGCCGCGTCACGCAGGATTATGCAGGACTTGTCGCGGGGAGCGTTTGCCGCTCCAGCCGAGTGCGCCAGCCGTACCTCTCGCGAGTCCCTACGACAGGACAGAGTCACGCGAGGCACCTCTACCTCCACCTGCGGGAGCTGTCATCATCCCTTAGGCCGGCGTATCCCTGCCGAGCTACTGAACCACATGCGAAAGCTTTTCATATGCAATTGCAGAGGTGGCACAACCGAGGGCGTTTCTCGTTCGCTGTAGCATAGGGGGTACGCGCGGTCGAATGCCCGAAATCGAACCCGTACACGGGTCGTTGTACTGGGGGGCTGAAGTCCCAGACATGATTCGGCGCCGGTCCACTAGGACGCACTACATACCCACGCATTACACTACAACACCCATGCTTACCCATGCATAACATACGGACACACACACACAGCAACCTCCACAAACAACACCACAACACAACACCACTCCTAGTCCCTTCAGTATCCGACCCATAACCTCTAGCGCGGGGATCGACGAATGCTGTGCGCAAGGACTTAGTATAAGATCGCACGGACGCAGTACCCACGCATACCAATTCACTATGCAGCTCTGCGTGAGTATTCGCGATGACGGCGCATTGTGTGGTGCCCATACCCAAAAGGCCTCTTCGGAACCATGGGGTTACTTCCGACGCTCAGGCGTTGGCTGAAGCGCGCGCTAAAGGGAAGTAACCCTTTAGTAGGCGCAAAACCGGCCTGAGGGTCTTTCCGTCTTCTAAACCGTGAGGTGTCCCAAGGGGTGTGGGGTAAGACGGCCCCTAGGGCAGGAAGGGATTTGGAGCGGTGGTGAGATGTCTGGCGCATCACCAGCGACAGGCTAACCTTTCCGCTCGGAACTTTACCGTTCCACCAAAATAAACCCTCACGACAGTTGTGTGGTCTGCCCATCTGAATCCACGCAATACCACTCAACGTGGATCAATCGAGACTTTTCCATACATACCTGCAATCACACCACGCTATCAAACAAAGATTCACATGCTACGCGGGGTCAACTCCAACCAACCTCCCCATCGCCACCTCCGCGTGCTTTCTTCCGACAGTACCTGACGCAAACAGCGCCTAGGTTCTCTTTGTTGCGTCCTTCCTCTCTTTCTCTCTCTCTCTCTCTCTCTCTCTCTCTCTCTCTACCTGGCGCATAATCGTGACCAGGTGCATTCACTTTCAGCCACAGGCCGCACTTCACCACCGCTGTGCTGCTGCTATCAGCCTCGCCCCCTCTAGCCCGTCACCTCACTGTGGCTCACCACCCTCCTACCTCTCTCTCCATCTCCATCTCCATCTCCATCTCCTCTCCGGTCCGATGCCCCCACTCCTTCGCCCCCGCTGTCTGCCTTATCTCCCTAGCGCCTCTCCTCGTTTGCTCTTCTTCACAGGTTAGTGCAGCCCACCAGCCCGTAGCTCCCTCGTCAGCGCAGCGGATCGGTACAACAACTCAGGCTATCCTACCACAACCTTCAGAGGGAACAGCAACTGGCCAGTGTGATTAGTCTTCCGTCCCTATGCCCAGA